CGCTTATAATACTGTAAGTGAGGAATTACAACCTGACAAGGTACTGTACTTGGATGAATCTTGGCCTCCAGAATAGTCCTTTTGCTTTACTGGCTGTGGGGATTTTTGCCTGTCTGGATTCCTGCACACTGCCTTGTGTTCTGCATTGAGATAACTTTTCTTAGAGGCTGAAGGAGTTAATGCAGAAATAGATGACAGATTAGTCTGGGACAGGCTGTGATTTGGAGTAAGAGAACTATCCCAAATAGCTGGCCAGCCGCCAAGCGGATAGACGATTTGGAAAACATATCGGCAGAGCTGTGGGGTTCTCTGGAGCAGCAGTGAGGATTATCTGTCAATTTAGCTGCTGTACTATATAGTCTGATTGACATACCCAAAATGCCTTTAGTTTATATAAGGAAAAATTATAAGCAAACACATATTTTATATCCGGGCTGCTAATAAATTGAACGAGAAACTCCTCTTTTCTTTCCCCCCAAGATATGTGTAATAAATAGGGGAAAATATTTTGATTAGAACATTTCCACTCCCTTTTATTTTCTTTTTCTCATCGCTGTTCTTCAGCCAGCTGTTGAGCTGATGAAAAGTGTGGAAGGGCTGCAAGAAGGCAGATTTTCTGAAAATCAGGCACGTTTCTATGGGAGTTGAATGATTCAAAATTGAGTTCCACATAATTCACTGGGGATTTCTTGCAATACAAATAAGAAGTCTGTCAAGCAGTGGTGCAGTTGAAGAGGTTATTTCCATCTTAACTCTCCTGGGCACAGCTGGTAGGTGGGATGTTTAAAAAGGGGGAAATTAAGAGTCAGGATACGGTGATTGAGCTCCCCACAATACCAGATCAGCATTTTGGTTTTGTAGATATATAAAAATGCTACTGTACTTTTGAATCGTGTATCTTAATTATTGCAAGCAATTAAAAGCTGCTATTTTTTTTTACCAGCTGTTTGGTGACCTAGATGACACAAGTGAATGGCCTCAGTCCATTTCTCTTTGAACAAGGAACCACACTGAAAATATTGCCATTACGTTGGACTTCCTCACTCGCAGTCTCTGCTGGGAGGAGGAAGACTGAAAGGGTTAGGACAGCCAACTTGAAAGAAAGTTCTTTATTCTGGAAAATTTTCCGCTATTGCTAATATCTGCCAGAGCAACACCAAGAGCATTAGCAGAGGGAAGACGCTGGGGCAGCTGTAACTGCTAGGGTTGTCAAAACTTGCTGATTCCTTTGCCAGGAGGCACCTGGAGCTGTGTCTGTCCTGGCATACTCAGTGTTGCTTGACCAGTTGTTGGAGCTCTACAAAGTGGGAACATCTCCAGACAAAAGGCCAGTGTTGACATAGTTGTGGTCTCTACAGGCCATGGTTGAGACACATCACTAGGGTGGTATGAGGGGAAGTTTCCATTAACCATTGTTCCCAGCTTGCATCCACCATGGAGGAGTTCTGCAGCTGGATTTCCAAAAGAGCTTAATGCTCAAGAGCTCTCATTTCAGCAACTTAAATAGAGGGGCTAAGTTCTTTCCAAAACACTTGGCAGTCGTCAGCCCCCATTGAGAACAAAGCTAAGCACATTAAACAGTCCAGCCACTTCACTGCTGTGATTGCAGCGTGTTTAAATAATACAGAGACTGGCAACAAAGGCATCTGGCTCCCAAGCAGTGAGGTGCTTTACCTTCGCCCGTCCTTGACGGCTGGTGGTGTAGGCTTCCTCCTTGGCCGACTCCATGTGCATCACAGCCTCTGACCAGCTCTTTCTCTGGATGTTGTGACAGCTGTGAAGCTTGCTGATGTGAGGATTAGTCGGCTGCTGGGCACATGACGTTCAGATTGCTGTGCTTATTTGACCTACCTCTGATTGCGAGGAATTCAGTGCATAAAAATAACACCCTGAACAAATTTGGCAGAAGGATGCACAGCTAAAGTGCCATGCACACACAGGGAGAGGAGCTTGGAGAGCAGTGTAACGTGAGGCCACGCACTGTACTCCTGCAGTAATAGCAGTGCCAAGTCCAGCGCAGCCCACGCTGTCGTCTTGGATTACGAGTTCCAGCACCACATAGATGTAGTGGCCATTAGCCAGTAAACTAACGAAGACAGGTTCCTGGCTTGTATTATTGGCAAAACTTGATAGAATAAATAAAAAGAGAGCAAGTGCCAGGAGTTGCCTAACGTAAAACGCTGGACAAGGAAATACTGGTTTTTCTGCCTGGAGTTTTAGACACCCTTATTAACTCTGTTCTCAGTGGAGTTCCTGCTCGTTTACGGGAGCGTGAGAGAGCGGAGAGTCAGCCCACCCAGACCTATAGAGGGGAGTGGGCAGTGCACCTGTAGGAATGTCTTACAGGGCAATAGTCTTCGGGCTCCTGGGTGATAATGTTTAGCTGTGGGCATGACTTGTTCAGGCTTTGTAGTAGTGAATAGCATTCACCTTGAGTGAGCTTCGCATTGTCACCAGGGTCATCCTGGGCTTGCTGAAGGACTGGGGCCCTTTTAGTGAGAGCTGCTTACACCGGGGGAAGTGAAACGTGTGCAGGCAGGGAACACGGCACAATCTTCATTGCTGTAGGTTCTTCTCCCACATCACCTTGGAGATGCATCGCGCTCTCCTTTATATTTGCGATTGCATTGGTAAGATGCAGCGCCTCAATTTCCCGTGTTTAAAAGGAAACCCTTTTAAAGTTTCCCTTTTTCAGAGAGATACTGTAAAATTTCTTGAGGCAAATGATTACAAAGCTCGTGTAATTGTGTAATGTGGCGCATTATAGATAACTGGTAACATGTAAACTGATACCATGTATCTAGAACTTCAGCAGTATTTAAATAGGGGCTGGATTGTTTCGGGCAGTTAGAAAGCTGGGGCAGATTTCACAATCCACTTGACTTTTAGAAACACCCTGCAATGCTCACCAGAAATACTATAAAAGTATTCAGAGCTCCTGTTTTGCTTCATTTTTATCTGTATTGCAGAATTTGCAAGATTTGTACACGCGTCTGTCTACATATATTTGTCTGCATTAAAAAAGTACCTGCCTGCTCCGGTACAAGCACATTCACATCAAAGGAAGCTTTCCTGCATTTAATCCTTTAAATAAGCCTGTTTCTGCCAGCCCATGTATCCGAGATGCGATTAGCCATCCATTTAAAGCAAGGCCACGAGCACGCCGTTCGGGCTGCCTTTACAACAGTCCCTACCCAGCGTTCCCCGCCCCCCTTGCAGCCATCGGAGCGGTTTAAACGCTGATGCATTAAGGGCAGCGCGCTCCGGGGCGGTCCGCGGCGCCCCGCCGCCCCATCCCTCCGCCAACAGCCCCGCGGGGC